CCGCCACCCGGCTTGTGTCTCTCTTTTAATACTGAAGATACTGTTCAAAACATTTCAAGAATCACCTTCAGCATTTTATATAGCAAAAGCTACAATGAATATTCATTATCTGCAGGTGGCTCTCGCTTATGAAAATAGCCAAAAGAACTCAGGCCAAGACTGGTGAGTAAATAGGTATGAAATATGGATGGTAAACACGCTGGAGAACTTTTTTTAATTTAGAAGGATAACATGGGGCATATTCACTGTATAAAAGAGCAATCTTTTTTTGGGGGGGGGGCGTTGAGACAGGGTTTCTCCGTGTAGTTTTGGTGCCTGTCCTGGATCTTACTCTGTAGACCAGGCTGGCCTCGAACTCACAGAGACCCGCCTGGCTCTGCCTCCTGAGTGCTGGGACTAAAGGCGTGCGCCACCACTGGCTGACAAGAGCAATTCTAATGTCATCTAGGACAACGCAGTCGGTGTCTCTGTAATAATATCTATGAGTAGTGGTGTGGTGCTAAGGCAGATGAAAGAGGATGAATAAAAGTGTACTTCTGCAGGTTTTGTCCAAGTTCTCTGTCATGAAATGAGTTCTGGTCAGACTGGATGGGCTTGGTTTTGATTGTTTGTTTGTTTGTTTGTTTTCTATGTTGGGGACCAAAAAGGGTCTCCTACGAGCTAGGCAAGTACTCTACCATGAAGCTATTTCCTCAGCCCCCAGAGCTAGGTTTTATTACCAAGTAAGTTATGGAAAAAATTATCACAATTTTTGGATGTAAGAATTGTAAAGGATTAGGTGGGTGGTGGTGGTGCACGCCTTTATTCCCAGCACTCGGGAGGCAGAGGCGGATATCTGTGAGTTCGAGGCCAGCCTGGTCTAAAGAGTGAATTCCAGGACAGGCTCCAAAGCAGAGAAACCCTGTCTCGAAAACAAACAAACAAACAAGAATTGTGAAGGATTGAAGACGATGACTCTTCGGTGACTATAGGTGAACCAATCAATCACCAAATCCCAGGGCTTTTGTGTTCTGTGTTCTCAGTCTGCCTTTCCCTCGCCGCTGACAACACCCAGCACCTTGGCACTCAGACTGGCATTTTCAAGTGAGAAAGTCTTTTACTCTCTTTCACGCTTTCCTCCCTAATTTTAAAAAATTTCAGTTACTTCTTTAAATTTATTTAGGGGAGGGAGCGCATGTGGAGGCCGGGGTGGGGTGGGGTGGGGGATCACAGCTTGCAGGAACTCTTGCAGGAACTGGCTCTCTCTTTCCACCATGTGAGTCACCGGTATGGAACTAAGTCTTCAGCCTTAGAAGCAGGTGAGTTTACTCGCTGAGCCCAGCCGTCTCTCTGCCTCACCGCTTCGGGGAAAAATAATCGTATGTGGATGCCGGTGATTTGGGCAGGCCGTCAGAGAACAGCTTTGTGGAGTCCATTCTCTCCACCTTCACACAGGCCCTGGAAGTTGCCCCGGGAGCCACCTTGCCGGCCTTCCTAGTGTTTCTGAAACACACGTCGTCCTTCCTTCTCCTAAGTGCAGGCCTATCCCTTCCACTCTGTTAGAATCTTTATGGTTCCACCACGTCTCTACCCAGCTATAAAGAAACAACTACGGGGGGG